CTCCCCCCGCCGCAGGTTACGCTGGGTCCCCTTGGCGCAGTGATGGGTGGTGCAGGAGGTTGGGTTGGTGTGTGGTGGTATTTTTGTGGTGTTCTCTTTGCAGCTTAGTAGCTGTATCGCAGAAAATAATGTGTAATGGTGTGTGTACTCAAGTGTGTGTGGTCAGATTCACCAAAGGAGAGGCAGTAACACCAGTGAAGTGGTTTCAACGCTGTTCTTAATTTTGCCTTCCTTTATTGGAATCTTACATCTTATGTAAGATTACGTATTTTTCAAGCACTCATGAAATGAATTAGGAGGTACACGCCTGGGCAGTGCTGGAGAGAACGAGAGCGTGGTACTTTATTTGGTGCCTTTTCCTTTCCAGCAGAGGAGCAGCAGCTATGATCTTGTACCTGATGCTTTTGTTGCTTTGATGGTTACTCTGTTGTTGTCAGATGCGTGTTCTTAGGGTTGCCGGGCATATACACTTTTTATCACTGGCATGACTGACAGTACAAAGTGTTTGACTGAAGACATTTTCTCTCGAACTAGAGAAAGGGGCATTCTTAGAGCATTGTTTTGTGCCGCAGATTTTGCCAAACATAAACACGCTCCGCTCTGGCTACATGGTTGCAGGGAAGGGTTGCGATTACTCTGATTGGAACATCTCAGTTCCAGGTTGTTCACACAAAGGCTCCTTATCTCTTATCTCCAGGTGTAAGGCTGCCTGATTCGGTTGCACTTAGGTTATTACACTACCTTACACGATGTTAGACAGTTTGTAAAGCACAGCGGGGCAGGTTTGTAGAGTAAGAGAGGGCTGAGTACTCAACACCTGTGTTGTACGTGTTGCGGTAGGAGGGTACGTCGGACTAGTACTTAAGACTTGTGGACTGAACGCACGTAACATATCTCAATGCACTGCAGTGTAACCACTTATTAATGTCCTTCCCTCCTTCTTCCACCTCAGGAGTATTTTTGCTACTTTATAGTTGCAACCATCCTTAAAAATAGCTATAGAGGTGATGATCTAAATGTGACTAAATCACTTCTTTTTTTTTTTTTATATAGATAAGACCAAACCTGTGGTAAGTGAGCATTAGCAACAAGAAAGCAAGGAAGTTTAACCCTAGTGATCTAAATGTCACTTCTGTTTGTTTCTGCCAGTGCAATGGAAACATCTGATCAGGTTGCTTACAGCTGGATGACATGTCAGAGGGCAGCAGTCACCCGCTTGCATGCCTCTCAAATCGCCAGCAGTTTAGCTGTGCAGAACAGCCACCGGTTTCATT